GTGTATTTACGCCTGGTTCATTGTATAGTAAGGGTTATAATATCCAGAATTTCAACAGAATAACAGCAACTGCTCTATGTACACTATCTATGTAAAATGTTTCCATATGTATAATAAATAGACACATCCCCACGAAAAAAATATCTTGGATATCTGGGCCAGATTATGGCACCGGTTTTACTTACAGAACTCACTAATACATTTTGCTTAGGAAGTCAGCGAGAAAAATCTATAGGAATGTCTTCAGTTTTCGCTGAAAATTGACAATGCGAAGCTTAAAAAGATATACACACAGTTTAACTGACAGGTGGTAGGAACAGCAAAAAAATAATGCGCAAAAAAGGTCCTAGATAACAAGCCTAAGAACGTTCACCGGGCCAATTTAATCGACTTAATCTTTAATCGATCTAGGCAGTGCTTTACTAGGTCGAGACAGAAACAACAAGACCCACACCTCATAGAGTTGCTAGAGTTTAAACAAATGACATTATTAGAAACAATGGTATCTTGGTCGTGGTCGTGTGAAACTAGATAACCTAACGGTATGCATACTTTGGTGTTCCTTCTTTTGTAACTTTATTTTATAGGCTCGTTACATAATGTTACAATTAATGAAGTGATTCCAGGTCTATTTTTTCCATTCTGTTAAACGTGCAATTTAATACATGTCAGGAGCTGAACTTCTGGTTCTGCTAAGTGCGCAAGCCATTCGCATTAGTTCCAACATTCTATAGATTAAGCAAATCTCTAACCTGATATAATTCCTTAACACGTAATCGGTCTATTTGTTGTACGGATCTTGAAATATCACAAACGTCCTCGAATATCTTCGAAGTAAATTTTATCCCCCTGTAGAAAACTCAAAATGTTTTTGATAGCCGCCTTTCTTTCTGGTAAAATTTTCGGGAACAAGGGATTGCTCCTAAAATATATATACTTTCCTTCTCTACTTCATTGTGTGAATCAAATAGACCAATAAAGATACTGATAATACCACGATAAATATTAAATACAATCTTATTCGTAGTACGGCTATGGGAGTCAGCAGTTACGAACGAAGATCACAGTCGAGTAAAAGGGGCGGACCGTTAAGAACAGAGACTGCTGTCAATCCCAGGACCAATTTTTACTCTGGATTATATCTAACTGCTTGAAAAGCGCTATGTGTCCCATTTTATTAAGGCTTATCTCTGCTAGTCGACGCAAACCTCTGAACAAGTGACTAGTCAAATAAGTGCCGAAACAACTAATTCGTTGAGGAAATAGATTAACGCGGAATCGAGGTGATGCGAGAAAGATTATCTTAAAAATAAACGAAATATTCTAACGGTCACCTATAAGATCAGTTGTAGGCTTTCGGTCAATAAGAAACAAGAGCATGACCACCTAGAGGCCCAACAAAGAAGTGTTATATCGGACGCAATTGTAGAGATCTACAGATATATAATATAACGTTGCTTTGAGTTGACCACAGTATCAGTTAGCTACTAGGCGTTAAAAATATGCCTTTTAGAAAAAAAGCGTTAGGACCGCATAGAAGTAACACAGAAGATCTATGTGGGCACTGGATATATTACAAAATATAACTTTGAAGTGGCTAACTTTAGCAAAGCGGCAGATGCATACGGTTTTTGCCATAGCAGTATAGCTTTACCTGAAATTCTTACCTAGATTTACTTCACTCATTTTACGGTCACATTTTGCTGCCTTTGGCATTTATTTCATTCTATTAAATGCACGGAGCAGCTAACGTCATAGTTGTAAAGATAAATTTGTAGTGACGGTAAAAGAAAGTCATTACGAAACAACTTTTACATATTTGTAGCCATGTATTATAATTATTTTTTTTTTCGTGTGTTGTTAGGCATACTTCGAATGTTTAATAGGCACATGATAATGTTGCAAAATAGGTGAGGTCTCAAATTTGAAAACGACATCAAAATTGATTTTTTTAGAAATAATTTTTATACAACATCCACAGTTATCTATGATTCGATAACTGAGTGTCAGTGAACAAAGTCATTATTTGGTTGGACTATGCCGTTTCCGTATCTGACCTTCTCAAAAGGTGGAAAGTTTTTTTTTGTTGGGAATAGTAATAGAATGAATTCCGCTATTTATTCATTCTGAAAGGAACAGCACATTTGATATAAAGCAGAATTAATGACATATGTTGCTATCCATATAAGTGACTTCTTATGTTTGTTTTAATGTCAATAATGTTAAATTGTTACTGAACGAAATGTTCGTCAGCAATTCCTGATTGAAATGAGTGATTTGAGCCAAAAATGGGTAGCATATGAATTTCTCCCAGCTAAATTTAGCTTGCTTTCCTAAAGTTGTACAGTAGTGCTACTCATCTATGATTTTAATGCAAATAGTCAAGAAAATGGTTCTCGGACGCTTCATTGTCACCTAGTCCTAGAATATTTTGCTTTCAATATGCTCAAGCTCAGTTGGTAATCTGGACAAAGATTTTGTAGTAATACGTTGATTCTAATCTTCAGCGTTAAGAACCTTGGCTGTGTCACCTTTTTTAATTCCAATAATTACAATTCGTATAGCCACATTGCACTTAAGTGACATGGATTAAGCTTCCATAAACACAAGTACATATCATCGATTCAACAAGATCGAACAAATTAATTTACTAGAATAAAACATCAAGAATAAGTTCCTTGCAAATTTTCTATGGGAACTTACTTGTAGGAAGCGAAACATTCAGTTGTTCCTATTGGCCTGTTCCTTGTAATATGAAAAGCTCTGATATAAACAATATATATTTTCTAATATGAACTGTACAACGTAACTTGGTAACAATGTTTTTTGCGGTCTTTGGCCAAAAAATATATAACATGATCTTTCAAACAATATGCGTGGATACTTCAGAAGCATTTGTTTTCGGAAGCCGAAACCTTCTTTTCTATGTCTATAAAAGACCTCTTCGTCTATCGAGCGGCATACTTTTCATGTTGTTCGAAGGTGCTATCCACGACACATATCTCTAACTAGAACTAATACCTGTACATATACCTAACATATATATTCTATAATATATATTATATAATATATTAGGCCAGCTCAAAGATAATACTAACAGAAGAACCCTGATTGTTAACTTTACATCTAAAAATATGTAGAATTTCCTATTAATGAAGATAAACAATAATCACTTTATAGAGAAAATTGATGATCGAATATTGTTCATACCTTTTCTCGTCGTTTATAGCTTATATGCTGTCAATTTATCTTACCCTTTGTATGCTATTAGTAAGCGAGTGATCTATTCATCCTATGGTAATTCATGTAGCCATGATCTATTCACCTAAACATAATAATTTTCACCCTTGAATGAACGCAATAGACTTTGTTGCTTGGAATCGATCTACTTTGGGGTGGCGAAAGCAATGATGACAAAAGTTCCAGCTGCATCTTCCTTTGTCTCAAAGTAACGTAGGGACAACACATCCTAATAAATCCTATTATGATTAAGCATGCTTACCAAAGGTCTTTTGCTTATTAACAAACGATGGCTGGTGACTAAAGCTTGTGGAGAAACCCCGACGCTTAAAAATGTTACACCAACTCATATAACGTAGACACGAAGCTGTGCTAAAGTTTATTAGAGAGTTTTTCAATTCTCTAATAAATTTAATCTTGAGTATGAAAATGAAGCAGTTATACGTGTAACGAAATTTAGAGTGTAATTCAGTTATCTATGTCTAAAGAACACTCCGCCGAAATCTTGCTGCCTCTTCCTTAAGTATAAGGCTAAATGATCGTTAAAGGAATACATTGAAGGTACAATTCGAGGTCTCCATTCCTTTATAAGGATAGCTGGACAGGTATTTGGCTTCAGCTTACAGACAGTACAGGTCTCGAACGATGACTGGTGGGAATTAGTGCCACCTATTCACGCTTGGATGTAGAAATTAGGTGCACAGTTAAACGGATGACGGCATTTTTACAGTTATGTTATGGGGCGAATTGGTCCTCCATAATGGACGTATTAAGGAGGGCTACCCGAGGACCTGACAACCTTGGCCCAATTTAACAACATTTTGTCTACAATGTCCTAGAATCCCCACGGTAGAGCTTACGGTAGAATTCTGCTGCTGCAGACAGAGTTCGGCTATATAGGGGAGGCTACGCCAATAGGCCGTAGGGAGAGACCAAACGCTTGGATACTTTCACTTGACCATAAAAATAAACGCCATGAGCTAGGGGTAGACGTTGCGAGCATTTCTGAGCGTTACTAACCACTAGTAAATACTAATTTTCACAACGTGAATAGAAAATTAGCATATGTCTGGAGCGTTATTGGGCCCTTAGTGGAAACACTTGTTGCTGACAAAGCTTGCATGAAAGCCATTTCTAATGAAGAGCTATTAAATAACTGGTGGTCCTTTCATCATCGAACTCATAGTATACTTTATAACTCCATTAATTTCCACATATGTGCAAGTTTTCGTTTGAAAACGAAAATAGCAATACGTAATTTGTATCCGTAAGTTGGTATCCCTTGTGATATCGGCTTATCTAGCCCCAAAGGCCGATTCAGCCAGAACACATAGATGAACAAAAGCTTTACAACGCGTCTCACGCATCCCATGCATATATTCAGTGCAATGCTGATGTGTCCTGAAATAACCCTAATGTTGTGTACCTGGTATTAATATTCGTCTAAGTGCTTGTAAATCTCTTTTCGAAAATTCAAATACAACGGATTTTATATAATGTTAAGTATTTTATTTTCATTTTATGATTAAACGATAATATGAGTCGGCGGGAATCTCTGTCACATAAGTACGTCTAAATCAGCATTAGCGACTAAAAAAAAAACTCAATTTAGCAATGTTTTCTTCTAGAAATCGGACTTTCATGTCACAAATTTTTCTACTGATACTATACAGGCAGTATTTGTCAATTTAAAGTGTCTACTTTGATGGTGCCGTTTTCTGCACTGAATTTCTAACTCTGCGTCTGGTAATCCTACCTACCTAGGTGTTTTTCTTGTAGCTTGCACGATCAGCCTTTTGTTGATACGTTAATGCGTTACTTCTGACAATTAACACTTGATTCACTCAGGTTTTGTCATGGCTCTCTCGTAATTGACACATTCCTGAAATATAAGGGTTTTAGAAAGGGTTTCCTTTTTAAGGGGCAGGTATAGAAGCAACCGTCGCCCACAAACTGAATCATGCATCCTACAAGACGCCGTGCATTTTAAAGCGAAATGATTCAAAGGAACCACTAGCTTAACAAGCAGTTAGTCCTACGATTTAAACTGCGTTCAGCCTGCAAGTAAACGTAGTTTATCATTTGAACAGTGAGATGCATGGACCCTCGTACACTCTTTGTAATAAGCCTGACATGAAGCGAGTATTTTCTTATATCCAGTGGCCGTGGCTGGCATCCTAGGTACGAAAAAATATCCTAAGTGTGTTATTTTATGATTCTACAACGTAAAATCTGCCTGTTACGAATTGACTACGCATATAAAGAGGTTGTAGCTCTATCGGGCTTGACACACGATTGTAGTAGCATACCGATGGTTCGCGCCCCTCACACACTATTCAGTTTTCAGCTACAAACCTATAGCTAAATAATATCCCGTGCTTAGTGTCTTGCAAACGCTATCCGCGTCGTTCGAGATTTGCTTCCGCCAGAGTTTTCGAGGTAAGTGGATCTTGACAGCGCCACCAGTGAGCGACCCCAAAAACTCAATGTGGCGGCGGATATTTGATGGTGTAGCCGATGGAAGGCCGCTTCATAGTGACGCCGTATAGACGAACGGATGGAGACTAGACAGATCAAAAACTCTGCAGGTCGGAGGATACAGAGGAATACCGCTCACATACAAGCTCTATACATACATACGAAGTGGCTGCTGTCACAGATCTCTCGCGCTCAACGGAGGGCGCTCTGTCGTCAGCCACAATCATCATCAGCAACAATAACATCATCATCATCATCGTCCTCGCAGCCGCCACCACTGCATCTACTATTCCGAGGGCCTGGCGCGCTCTCTGTATCTGCTCGCCTTGACGGCGGTCTTAGCGGCCAAAGGAGGGGAGCACGCAGAAGAGGGTGCTCGGAAAGACGAAAACAAAAAGAGAACGGCGGGAACCGAGCCTCTGTTTGGGGTCTGCTCGGTTCCAGGACTGGATAGCTCCTCGATGGAATAGAGGTTGGAGAACGCTGTATGTGAGGGTAGGATGTGGCCTATAGGGGGTAGACGGTGGGCTACGACAGATCACGTGACAACATGGCGGCGGCGGCAGCAGCAGCAGCGGCGCTCTGCTTCGAGATGCTGCAGGTCGGGTGGCCGTGCCGAGCCGAGGCTGCATGAGAGCGGCTGGAGACTCGGCTGCGAGCGAGTGGCCACCCGCAGGCGGTGCCGAAGGCCTCGAGTGCCAAAGGAACACTCGAACGAGACGACAGGCTGACGCCGGACCAGTGGCGCGCCGACATGCCGTTAGGCGCAGAGGCCGACCTCCAAGCAGCGTCCACATCAACGGCTACCCTCATAGACAACGCTGTGCAGCTGCGATTAATGGCATTATCGGCGTTGTTGGCCTCGTCTATTGGCCTACCGCGTCCTTGTCCAGCAACAGCGACAGTGTGTTCGACGGTGGCGGCAGTGGCCAACTCGTACGGAAACGTCAACGACTGCGACGACCAGTGCATGTGCCGACCTATTCATAGTTACAGCAGCGTTCGTATCGACGGCAATAGCAGCAATATCAACAACAACAACAACAACAGCAACAGCAGCAGCAGAAGCATCTTGGCGTACAGCACAATGTGTGGGATTATGGCCGTCCAGTGAGCGGCGAGAAGGCCCCCTGGTAACGCGGTTAGGGTCTAGATCCATACTTTATTTGGTATTGCTCTATCATTCCAGTTAACGAGAATCGAACGGCAACCTCTAGGAGTTGTTGATGCCGAGCAGGTGGCCGGCAGAAGGCAAACACAACATTGCCAACAGCAGGCAGAGGCTGATTTCTTAGTGCTTCATTACTGCTGCCACTGCTGCTGCTCATCGTACGGCCTTCGTCATCGTCGTCGTCGTCGTTGTTGTTCGATTGCTTGGAAAACGTGTGCGAACCTCTGCGTACCAGCAATGCCAACAGTTGCTAAAGCACCGTAGTTTTCAAACAGCTGGACAGAACTTTCGTTTTGTGTGATCTAACAGTGACGAACGAAGCAACGAATGACTGGAAAGGGGAAGAAGATTTCAAAGGACGTCAAAAGTGTGCCTGCGTATATCTTCGAAATTAGCGTTGCATCTTTCAGTAGCAAGAATAATAGTGGCAACACTAGGAGCAGCAGAAAAATTCAGTCGGCAAATATCAATAGAAATCGTCTCGAAAGGAACAGTATCTCTCATCGACTAACAGCTGTTATAGCTAAATAGCAAATGCACAACGCTGGAATGGTACAACAGTGGAGGACGGCAAAATAGACTCAAAGAGATCATATACACAAATGCAATGAAAGCGCCAACAATAACCGCAATCAACGTTTTAATGCTATCGCTATAAACGAACGTGTACCTTGATCTGACAACTCTGCTTTTCGTTATTGTTATCAATTCATCATACAATAGTAACAACAACAACAACAACAACAACAACAAGTAGAAAAGTAACAACAAGGACCAGTTAACAGCAACGAGCTGTAGCAACGAAAGTATCTATACGCAGTAATATAGCGAAGGGTAAAGAGATGATGTATTCGGATGCCAACAACAACATTGACATCTTTACCCTACTCTCATAACGACAACAACAAAATAATATTAGTAGTAGTAATCATTACCATCACCATATGACTAGTTGTTTTCAAGCAAACCAACAATTAAAAGGGCAACGACAGCAGTAGCAACAACCCATCAAGGGGTGCATCGATATCTGCGGGGGTTAAATCACGGTACAGAAATCATTCATCCATCATTCGACTATCGGTAGTGATATATCTATGGCAATTTCGGATGGCGCCAATTCAGTCTGTCGGTTATCCAGCAGCAGTTTCTTGGTCGTAGTCGACGAGGAAGTAACATGAAGGTATTCTGATGCGGATCAGACAAACAGGAAAAAAAAGAAAATTCAAATGATCATCAGAGAATTACCGACCCTACGGTACTTACAGGAATTTATCATAAAAGGAACAGAGACATTTCATTGGCTTTGGAAATCACATTCGATACGAGGCCGCCAGTAGCAACAGCTAGCAAACTAGAATTAGCCGAATTAAGAAAAAACATATTACGGATCTCTGTGTTTGTTTGTTGTTTTGTTTGATAGTTACAAAAATCATATCGAAATAAGCAGGCGAACAGGGTAGCGCTGTGGTGCTTTTTTGGTGGCTGTTTCTGAGGCACAGATAAGACCGATAGCCAGTAACAACGACGAGATAAAACGACACTGATCTGAAGCAAACGACACGCAAAGGGTTCGTGCACGGTTAATCGGTCATCATCTGTGCCTTCTGTTAGTAGAACACGAACAGCATCAGTCGACCAGAAGCTGAAGTAGAAGTGCGACACGTCTAGCAAAGCATCTGAGAAATCAACTCGAGGACGACAAAGGCCTACAAATAGTTCAGGAGGTGTTCGTTGTTTCGTGTCATGTCGTTCGATGTGTTTGTAGAAGTGGTCGCGACGAAACCATCCTGTTGTCGCCTATAAGTCCTGTACCAAGATATAAAGTATGAAAGTCAGTCAATCAACTTTTAGGACGGAAGTATCAAATAGCTAGTCAAGCGAACAACGGTCTCATAATACATCATCAATATCGTCGACATCTTGTTGACAGAATCAAAAAAAATATTTTTCCCGTAGGAAACGAGCAGCCTCAGGGAGGTACAGCGCAAACAGCAATCAATTAATCAATCGATCAGTCATAACTTGTTCATCTTCAGTACATTACTTACTCTATTTGCTGGATTATATCGCGACGGAAGACTACCAGACAACGACGCCGACGTGCTTTGTCTGCCAAGGTGGGCTATAGAATAATCACTCAAAGGAAACATAGGGGCAGATCTTTCATTTAGCATGATACACGGACCTACTACACATTAACCGTTCGTTGACACTTGTTTAATTATTTATCCTGACCCTAAATAAGGGCTGACTGTTGGCATCTTCATGTAAATTTTTGCCTTTCTGCTAAGATGACGAAGTTGCCATAGATGTACACGTAAATCAATAAAGACTGGGAAAATGTACATGGCAGGAATTTTGGGTTAAGGCGTTGACTTTAAATGGATAACCTGAATCGAAGCATCAAATCAGTAATGTTAACAGATGGTGTTATTAAGATATAATTCTAGTTAGTACAACGAAAAACTTGCTGGGGTTCTCGGCCGCGACATCAACGAAAAACAGATGCTAATAGTACTGAGAATTTGATAAGCATCAGTGCTGAGAAGAGGTATTTCAGTTCATCACGAACTACGCCACCACCCAGTCGTAGAGAAGTAAGTTCATATCCCAGGGATAGTAAACCAGTTTTTTGCCAGATTAGGGAAGGTATACTTGAAGAGAATAATCTGCTTGATTGAATTTTGAAAAGTTATCAATATCAATTGTAAACAAGTAGTAAAAACTCTAATGTTAGCTAGAATCGTTGATGGTATTATCTCATAACGAAAGGAATCGCTTCATGCTAGGCGGACATAGTGCGCATACGCCTCTATAGCAAGCCTACTTGGTACAGTTGAACATGCAATAGAAAAGCGTCTATGTCGAACATTACGTTCGGGTTGATATTTCTTGCATGTTTCGTCTACTCCAATAATGGATTAATGACTACACATGCGTAAATAAGAAAAAAAAAAGGAAGAGTTTGTGAAGATCGAGACTTCGCAGGCAGTAAGCAGGACTGGACGTGTCCCTCCTCTGTATGCCGATCGCAGCACTCACATCCCGGAGCGTCACACGCTCGTGTTAAGTAAATGTAGACAACCTGTATAGAATATGTTGTGACAAGGTTCGAGCGCGTCAAACGTTTTTCGCTATAATTATTCCCCTTGCACCGAATTCACCGAAACGATAATCAGTTTTCAAGACGCGTAATTTTCTTCTTATCCTGCATCTTCTGTAGTTCTCTTATTGCGAAATACATCTGTCTAGTTATAGCTTAATTTATTTTGAACAAGAACCTTGTTCACTACAACCTAAATCTTACGCTCGTTTCCTTTCCATTGTTTTGCACGGTGTTACGAGTACACTGCGGCACCACCCTAACCAGACTAGTCGATTAGAAGGCAAAAGTAATATAGTTAATTTATACAAATGACTAATTATGAATGTCCTTTGACTATCGTTCACGTTCACGTAGTGAATATATTTGTAAGTTACATTATACGTCTCGTTCCGGTTTACGTTAGACGACGCTGGCTGTCCGAGGAAAACCTACGGACTATCATGCAGGTTGTCTTTAGACTCATATATTTGCAGGGATATTTGTGTGCGATCCATGTACAATCCTCTCTTTTGGACAAAAACACCCATGTAGTTCCGTCATAGGTTTCAAAATCAAGAATATGTAGGTGAGGTTCACTTCAAAACTTCGATAATTTAAAATTCACTTTATATGTACGCGTATATTTCCTCCTGCCTATGATGAGTCTGCACCTTAGAAGCACCCTAGAAGAAATACGTTAAGAGTTCCAGTTGCTTTCTGTCCTGCCCTTGCAGAGGACGTAAAGGCTACCTAGAAATCTTCCTAGGCTACCAAAGAATCCCGTGATTCTTTGAGTAAGCTGTTTTTCCAGCTCGGTGATTAAGTTGAAAGTTAATTACAACAAACAATATTGCACATGCTAATTGAAAATAGAAAAAATCGCTCAACCAACACCGTGTGGGCGTATCAAAAAGCATTTTTGACGGCTTCTTTCATGACGGAAATTACGTTTATAATAGTTTTTATTTCAATTCAAGGAAGTGCAGCAATATCGTACAAAACATCCGGTCACGTTAATTTGACTGGACACGAACTAGCAAAAAGCAATCAACTGAAAATTCTGCAAAAACATTTGGTTATACTAACAACAATAACAATGTGCTTTCGTATAACGTTGTGCTAGGTCTGGCCGAAGCGTAAGGTAGCCGCTGCGTAATAAGCATCAGACAAATGATCGATGGATTGATTGCGGACGATTTCTTTTTCCAAGTACTATAACGTTCGGCCTTATAGGATGTAGTAATGTATCTATAGCAGTCTTTGGCTAGCGTCCTTGCATTTCAGAGCCCAAATAACGGAACTACCGAAATTAGTAGCTGTTTCAAGGGAATTATAGCTTACCAGATGGCCCACTTACTCTAATGATTGGCCTGCCTACATAGACGCTTCGTATTAATGAGCAGCAAATAATAAACGACGTCCAATCCGCATAGAGGCTCAAACTGAATAAATTGCTTTGATTTCTAGAGGTTGTGAAATCCTATTTTCCAGAAAGAAAGCTATCTGGTGAGAACAATTGGACTTCATGGCCCATAGTCGTGATTCATGTATTAGATGGTATAGAATCAACAGTTTGCCGTCAAAACTAGCTTGAAGGGGGTACAATTATTACGAAGGCTCTCATCGGCCGTAAATCATTCTTGAAATATCAATTAAATATGACACAATCTTCGGATGGTTACCGGTTCGACACAACGACGTATAGGTGTTGGCCATTGTGTCTTAAGCTGGCCTCAAAGAGAGAGAAATAAGCTTTCAATCCTTACACGGGTCTTCGTAAATTTCGAACGCTTAGTCTACTGAAAGATTTGTTAATCTATTTGTTACTGCGATGTTTGAACGAGCCAAGTCCAGTACTTTAATCAGTCGCTGATTGATAAAACAACAGTGCATGTTTACAAAGCATCCAGAATGAGCGTACTGTGAAGGTACTGCTGAAACACACACGGGTATAGATAAGCAAATACGTTGCGTTTATTCCAATAAGCAAGTGTGTAGACATTCGTAATGTTAGAGTCGCAAAAATATGGCTCATTGAAAAATACGTTCTTCAGCATTTCACAGAAATGCGTTTAGTTGAGGCGATGGCGCACGATCAGCGGCAGAAACAGTTCTATTTAGTTTCTCCCTGACTTCAGTCGGGCAAGTTCTTTTGCCTCTCCGTGTTTGTTCTGTCTCGTTGTTGGCAACAGCAATAGGAACCGTTTAAAAACCCTAACCGCAATTCGATCCCGGACGCTGAAAAAGCGTATACTTTACCCCTGTCTTGTTGTTCTCGGCAGCTAGAGCCATACAGGCTTACATAGCCGCAGTAAAGGAACTCAGGTGGTTGCTGTAGAAAATTTTCTGTTTTAACATGTATCGACAACCGTATGTCGAAACAAAGGTCCGCCATACAATGAAGACAGATCAGTATTGAAGTCGGCAGCACTGATTGACGAACACAGCGGTGAGTCTACGACGAAGTGCATTGCTTGCCGCACCCCATGTTCATGTTCAAGTGCATCTGAGAATCACTTATAGCTGACGCCCGCTGGCAGCTAGGTGGAGATCGGTCTTGCAGTGCATCTATTTCGACGATCTCTTCCAATCGCAAACGTCTATAGCCCTAGCATAACATAGAAAACGAGGAAATGTACTTCTACTTGGCTAAGAAGCATCTCACTTACGACTATTATATTCGAAACAGCTCGAAAACCATAAGGCGTTATCTCAATTTGTGCTATTATAAGCGTACGTATCATGACATAGTAAAGCATACTCTCAGAGTACAAAAATCATGTTTAACAAAAGTGTTATTATTATGAGGTGTCAGGTCCATGTTTGAGAGAAAGGAAATAACTGCCTTTTGAATACACATCGTAATCACAGTCGGGTTTGCCAGTGAAGTGCAGATATTGTTTGTTCGTGACTTACGTAAGGATAAAAATTCACAAGACAGATTTCCTGACAGTAAAAAGGATTTACAAAAGTCAAGCATTTTCCCGTACGTATGCTTTACGAATCGGGAACGTTGCTGTTAAAGGAGGTGAGATCGACTCGAAAAGGGATATCTTGTCTTTCATCATTTGCCATTACAAAATAGTCTAGTAAAAAGGTTAACACTTGAAAAATACCCGTCACGGTTTTCCACGAAGCGCGGCTAGTCTCCTATCTTTTTTGTTTCTAATCGGATAGTTCATTTACTCATCCCCACGGGAGATCGACGAAAAGCGGAAGGAAGTCCAAAACCGTTTACGTTTGGTTCGTTGGTTGTCTTCGAAAAATCAGCGGATTTGCCATATCTCATATATAGACAGGAGAATGTGAAACTTACACACTTACCACATTCTACCCTTTGTTTACACCAATATCTGCGAGGATTATTTTAACCATGGAATTCATGTTGTAATTCTATTGACGTAAAAGGTTCCTACAGACTACTAATGCAGGATTTCCTATTTAATGAACTAGGCTACATGCAAAATAGGATTTGTCGGAACTCGTTTCCAACAAGGCTGAAATAGACGCGATTTAGAACAGGTCCGCGATACTCACCGTGCTCGTACCAGCTAACGAGCGTCACACAGATATATACATTGCATAGATAGTGAATCCAGCTGGCATAATTTAGTTCGCTTATGTTCAAAAAGCCTTTTACGAAATTCCACCTCATCGTATGTGACTTTTTCAGGAACCCGTTTAGGTAACAACAGCAACAAAAAAAAATATTTGCTCAGTACGGTAAGTTGTTCTGTCAGCGCTGCAACTATTACTGATTTGCACTAATGGGTCCGTGTAGTCTGTATAAGACTTAACAGGACAGCTAATAAACCACCAGGTTCGCCGTTTTTGTCCACATAATGATCCTTTTGCCCACTCGTCCTAGGCTAGGATCTATGTGAGACCCTTCAATTACGCAATCTTAAATAAAAAGTGAAACATTTTTATTGTGATGCTCATTCTCGCAGTTTCTCAGAATTTACCACGTACTTATTTTAAGCGATATTTTTAAACTCTGAAAGGGCAGCAATTGCGCAAAGCACTCAGAAA